AATTATCTCAGAATTCCAACGTCATATTTACTAATTTCAACATTTTAAGCGCCACTCGTGGCATATCAAATCGTTCTTCGCCTCCATTACCCCTACCAATTGCCGTGTGAGGGAATGGGTGTCTACCTTTGGTGGTGGCGATATTTTATTTTGCCATTAAAATATTTTTCGAACCGAAGCGAGGGAAGTACGTTGCCAACGTTTGCTCGCCTAGCTCGCATATAGAAAGACTAGTAATTTTTCTCTCTTTTGCCCAACCCTATTTGGGCTACAGTTTGTCTGTCCAGATATTTTACGAAAGCTTCAGTAAATTTCATTATCTAGTTTGAGACCTGGTCGAAGGAAGTTGCAAGGCGTTCAGTGTCGCCCACAATAACAGTTTGGGCTGTCCCTTCCTCCTTTTGGTTGAACAATATTCCAGTAGCTCCAGACTTTGATGCATAACTTTTACAATGTTTGAGATTACAATCGAGTCTGCTCTTTCTACCAAGATTAAAACGAGTACCATACGGCTCTTGCTTAGAAATTGTGTGATCACGGATACGACATTCAAGGACTCAAAACGTCACAGACATGTTCAGGGCATTTCCAAAAGTGATGCATCATTGACAAAAGTGATGTCAGAAACCCCTCCCTACTTTTACTTGGAACACAAGTTCAAACGTCGTGTCAAGGTGACCAACTCATTGACCTTTCCATGTGTTTGAGACTGGTGCTACTGATTCGACAGGATCAGCTAAAATTTCTGATGAATATGCAAAGGCTTATACTCCCTCTTATTTATTCGCCTACGCACTTATCACTGAAAACCAGCTTTTTCAAACCCTTTAATATCAGTATGCTCATGCAAAATTTTAGAAAGATACGTTTAATAGTATTTGCATAATGTAGGTAAAACTGTATATAATGTGCAGTTGATGCATTTCACTTTGGGCTTTTGTTAGGTTTTTCCTACTGATGCTGATAACAGATTTCCTAAACATCCGAAGAATTGTTCTATTTTTCCACGTTGCATACAGATGACCGACAAATTCGAAATTGTTGATAATAAGGAACAACATAATATGTACCCTCTCCGAAATATTAATGAATATTAACGTTTTTTTTCAGTGGTTTGAGGAAGGATCTGTTAAATGCCAACTTTAATAGTCAACTACAACAAATATGACGAGTCAAAAGATTGGCCTTTTGGATACTTGTATCCATTTTCTGTGAACTGAGTTTCATTTCCAGGTATCAGTAGCGATTATCTGATCGTCGTTAATGTTTCGGTGAGTTGGTGGGATCTGCCAGTCAGGTCACGCAAGATTTCCCGGAAATTAATGTAATAAAGGAGTTTTCGAATATAAAACTGGATATAAATTGAACACAGTAGACGGTATTTCAGGTGTGACGTGCTCGCCGCTATGTCACGGTAATGTCGGAGAGGAAATTACATCATCTTATGTTGATCCGGTGGTTTTGTAAGACCTGTGTCGGGTTGTTCTGTAGTCGCTTCTCATGCAGTGAACCACAGGCGCGTTAGTGAGTGAGTTGGGTTCATAACCACTTTCAAAAGTATTCCAGTTGTATTCCGACGGGACCGCGGAATGTGTTGCAGGGCTCAGATATTTACCTTTACGGGGAATGTGTATGTTGTGAAATCATCAATCGGAATTGGAAGTAACAGTTGTGGGTTTCTGGCGGGCCCATTGAACAGCTTGGCTATCCGCACCCTCACCACTGTGTCAGACTCGATCATTATCCGTCCCCATTCCCAGCATATGAATACACTCAAAGATAAACCAGTACGCCAATCCTCAATTTTCTGTTCTTACTGTCATGTGTTTCATACTGTCTCCGTAACACACATTTATGATAAAAATATTAAACCGAAAAACCCCAAAACAACAAAACCCTCCCCCCCCGCCCTAAAACCCCCGTTAGATTTCAACTAGCTTCACTTACGGTTTATAACATTAGATAACGGTTTTGCACATACATACGAAAAAAAGACTACAAGAAAATACTCGGCTTGCATTTGAATTTAAAATGTGATTTTTAACTTAATTTCTGGTTGATGGATATATGTTACCTCTTTACCTCACTGCATTCGGGTGAGGATGACTTGCCCCATGGGCCCGCCCTGGTTACATTGTACTTAGAGGGCGTGCCACGTTGCTCATTATGTACTTATTTGTCGGACCTAAACTCTATACTGGTCGTCGTTATGTATATAAAATACTGCTGGCTGGACAAACCAACAATGATTAAATCGAATATCATCTATTAGGAACACCTACATAGTTGCTCGTTGCCAAGCCACCATGTGCTTGAAGGGTCCATATTTTCCTTCAACCCTAAATGTCGAATAAAATGCTAATAATGCAACTAAATGGATCCGGCTGTTGGGCTCTTCTTTTCCAGATAAAGATAATCAAACAACATAGCAGATTATGAGACAAGATGCTATTTTATTCAAGATTTTAGCTGTTGGTAACATTAAGTACATTAAGCATTCGTTGGGGCTTTGGAATTTCTCGCTATGTTTCAAAAATAAATTCCGCATTTACTGTCTTAAATGCTGGCATCGTTCTCTCCCTAAAATATCTGAGGGGTCTTTAAATACATATCGGCGATATGTAATGGCCCTTTTCAATAAATGCAAACTTTAATCACAGAAGAATTTGGGATTTATCAAGGTAGTGTGATGCCACTGTGCTACATTTAACAGGGAGTACACCAGGTCAACGGTTGTGCGAAACTAACAGTTACCAGAGAATCAAATAGAGTAAATAGGGTATGTGTTTATGCCGTGCCAGATGCTGTGTCCTCTAACAGTCCGTCATATATTCAGTTATTACCAACTAAACCCATCAAGAGGTTCAATAACAAAATCTAAGTAACGTCTTGATGCAGGTGTTTCATGCACACAAGCAGCAGCATTAATGTGTGTCGGCAAATGCTGAGCCATTAAAACTACAAAAGCCTGGGCCCCACGGTAGAACAAGTCTGAGAACGTAAGACCCTTTGCATAATTATCTGCGTTTGGTGAGTGATTATCAAGTCAATCTATCGACCGGTTCTGAAAAAAGGTTGGATTTACACCACCCATTCAAGCGTAAGCGATTTTGACAAATGTACAAATGAACACAAATCTAAAAACGTGGCAGGAATAGATATAGTTAAATGACATGACATTCCATACTCTCTCAGCCACTAACAACAATCTCAGTTGGAAATTGAATCTACCAATTTGAAAATACCTATTTACAAACATTTCAATCAAAATTTTATAATCCAATCTATTTACATAATCAAGTCAATCATTAAATGAAACGAAAATGAAAACTAAGGTTGTAGGTAGAATCCTTCATGGATGAAGCTTGAACTAGTGAAGTTAAGTCAATACAGTCAAGCAAGACATGCTTGACCATGATTCTTTCACAAGTGATTTAAAATGGAGGACGCTCACTGTTTAATACATATTCATGAATGTATCTCCAGTTGTCATTGCTTCATCATCTTAACATACCTCTTCAAATCTCGACTGACAGCACCAGTTAGTGTAATCATAGTTGGTTTTCTTTCATGTAGTTCCCCCTGAGAGGGTAAGACCACGTCATTCAAAGTACATTATTCATACTATGATTGTCTGGTCCAGACACGATTATTTACAGACCGTCGTCATATTGCTGGAATTTTGATGAGTGCGGCGTAAAACAACAGCCAAACCAAACCAAACCAGATGCCCCATGGATCAAGGAGTGAAGTTTTGTCAAATGGGACAGTGGTGTGCAACGTTGAAAAATATCAAATGGTTTGACAGAACTGAAACCACTACGTCTCTGAGATTGTAAATGTTCAAGCATCCTTTCAGTTTTTTTGAGACTCCAAATGGTATTAATTCCGTTTGTCTCGAATATTTTCTATGGACATAGAGAAAACCCGTCCTTGATTTTGTTATGGTTAATCTTTGATGTAGGTATTTGGTGGTACAAATGGTGGATCCAGTATGCACCCGAGAATAGAACAGTTCTCAGAACAAAATACCCCGTGTATCATTCTTATGTATTTAATTTGTGATTATCAATTCAGTCTATTGACCGGTTCAAAAGAAGGCTTAGAGTAAGTAACGTAAGCCTGTGATGCTGATGTGCCATCCCACACGTATGGCCGATAACTGTGTGCTGGTAGATTTTGTGTATTTTTGCTTTGAGTATGTTTACTCGTTTAAAGGCCATATGACCGACCCACTGTACATAGTCATTAAACATTCAAAGCAATTTAGTAAGGCAGAGTTGACAGTTCTCCTCGTTGTTTAAACACATTGAAAACATATTTAGCTAAATTATTAATGATTTCCAAATTTAGAGAATTGAAGAATGAATAAATAGATAAGTAAAGTTCATAGTTTTTCTTTGGAATGAGTTCTGTTCTCATGTCCGTAAATATGGTGCAGTCGAACAATATATGACTCTCATCTTCTTGGGATAAACAGGTCCTACCGAATATATCGATATCATTTACGGCGCTCTGTCCTCTTCTTAGTTTCATCTCTCCAATGTTCATATTGCCACTTCGAAATTTAGTTAAGATCCGTCTTTGAATAGGTGATGTTAATACAGATAAATACCGTTCACACTCTAATAGAGATTTAAAAGAGGAGTAAAATGAAAGAGAATCGCTGTCAAGACGTTCATATCACATTTGAGTTGAGGTATCTAATAAACGTTGTTTGAAAATGTTCATAAATAGTTCCTCATTACCTGTTCTTGACCTGTTCTACCAAAATAGAAGATTCCGTATGTTGTTTGTCCAATTGTTACGTTCCAGGCTGATATCAGTAAAAGTATATTATAACACTGGTATGGGTATCTGTTCGGGGGCAGTGTTATCAAACGGAGTCAATACTTTACACATTTGCACATATATACAGCCCATAAAGGGTTTCTACCACATTCTTCATATGCTACACAGTTTGAAGATTTATAACCTTGTCCTTAAACGTATTTGTAGAATTTCCTTTCTATTGTGAGATTAATCATCCAAATACTTGGAAAGTTCTCGCAACAAATGAGCTATGGATATTTAACAAATCTTTGAACCTACACACAGAGGAACGCCTATTAGATAGCTAATTTTCAAATCAACAAAACCTTTTCAAGGTTGAGATTAAATACTTTTATATCATCCACGCTATCTCTCGGGAAACGATGTTGATAGGCAAACAAGGGGCACCATTTACCTTGCACTGAAACATAAAAAAGTTAATACATGTCAGCTACAAGCAGATAGGTGTATAGTTGTGGTTTCAGAGTGGCTTGATATTTGGCAGGAGGACGGCCTGCAAGCCCGGTATGGTTACGCAGGGAAATATCAATAACATTCTACATATATGCATACAGAAAACCAACCAAACAATTATAGTTGTGATATTTGGCAAGATGAAGGCCTGCAAATCACGTAAGGTTATACAGGGAAATATCAATAACACCCTACATATATGCATACAGAAAATCAACCAAACAATTGTTTGTTTGGTTGGATCTAGCTTAACGACAAACTGTCCATATTCAAGTGTTATGCTATCGACCCGTATATGCAGATCCTAACTAGACAATACAGTGGTAATTTCAAATAGACACGCTGTTGCCTATGCTTGATGCGTGAATGGACAATGTGGATTAAGCTGGTCACTTGTTTGGATGAATTTCTTTGTGACCCGACATCGTGGGATGTTGCTGAAGATGTCAATGATCTATCTCGCCCAGAATCGATTTATTGTCGAATACCAGTGTAAATGACATAATAGTTTGATGTGGGAGGTAAGACTCACATACCCAATCGAGTAGAATGAATTGTGTTATGCAACCTGATTGTTGTCCTCAATTACCACAGACTGACATTAAAACGTGAAACCATAACCCGCTCTATAACTTTGTTGTCTGTAGATGATCATTTCCACAAGAGAAAACATCCCGGAAATGTCCCATAGTTTACTGAAACGTAGTGTTCCGTAGAGACATAATGACATTTAAAACACATATCTCGATCTGTTCAGGATTTTTTGCAAAGAAGCACAAATAGAAATCGAAGATTATATTTCTGAATTGCCGTAAATCCAGACACAGTTCATTCAAAATCCAGATTTGGGGATAATTCCAGAAACGTACCAGGAATTCTGTAGCAGTTGAAATTATGTCCATCGTAAACTTCTTCGTCATTTCAAACGGGAAAGGGGAAATTAAATTAGTTTCAATTTCCTGCCAGACTGAGTTGGAACGACACCTCCTCTGGATAATCTGCTGGTCGATTGTTACAGTGATCTTCAGAAGGTAGTCGTCGCTTGCAGTGATGAAGTAAACCGAAAACCTTTGTCATGAAACAAAAAGAGTTCATTACATACAATATGTCAGGGCCAGAGAATAGTCAGTTGCGATTATCTTCCTGAACAGGCAAAATCGTGGTGAAAGGTATATGTATTGCTGAAATGCATTGGGTGAGTGAGTATGGTTTTAGCAATATTCCAGCAATACTACGGCGGGCGACACTTGACACAGCCTTCAGACATTGTACCCATGTGGGTTATCCAATGCTTGAAACACTTCGTTACCCCACCGCCCGTTGACATGTACCGGTGATACACCATTGTGATATATATTTAAGCTAAACGATGGTGTCTCGAAAGATGTCATATTCCAGGACATTTTCATTGTAAGAAAGGTCCGATTGTAATGTTACCAAGTGTACGTCAGACCTTGAGTTGATACCCTTCTACACGTATTACACCTGGATATCGTATCGGGCATGCCCATCATATCCTTGTTAATGGTGTTTAAAGATGTGTTGTTCAACACAGCACACGTCAGTTTTCCAGCTACATGACGGCGGTTTGTAAATAATCGAGTTTGAACCAGACAATGTAGTGATTGACATAATGTGCATAAGTTACGTAAATATGATACGATGTTGCATTGACCAAGTCAGACAGGCTGATATCCCGAGCCCGTTAGTCGTCTCTTAAGACAAACATAGGTGCTAAATGCCCAGTTCTAATTCAAAGATGTGAACGAAACCTGTTTTCATATATTTAACCGTGGCCGAAGACTGGCTGGTTGATTCGTCAGATTCGTGAGATTCGTATTTCATGTACTGCACTGAATGGTCATCAAAAGCTATGGGCTAAAGTAAAGAATTTGGGCACTTTATGATGAGAGACGCGTGGATCGTACATTCAGTTCAGGGACATGAGGAACATGATTAAACTGATGCTACTTGTAGATAAAGTGCTATTATCTCCACTTACGTGTTTTCATTTGGCGTTCCAACAAACGACACTCCAGAATCCAAAGGAAGGATATATGTTCCTTTCATGCGTAATGGATTCTGAAAAAAAGAATAAATCAATGTTCGTTGAAATATGCGCGAATAGTGATTCATAAACACACGCCCTGTCATCCTATCGCATGGTGACAATCACTGGATTGTCTGGTTCAGACCCGATTTGTTTACAAACAACATAATAAAGCTAAGATCTGCTCATGATATAGTCACAATTGTACTCTGCTTTTGGCAGATATTTCTTATGAATGTGGAAAGGGTTTTGTCGCTTCTATTTAGGATGGCGGTTACAGTGTATTAAAACGTGTCCACTAGAAAATACACCATTGCTGCAATATGAGAGCAGGGGTTTGATGCTGCCAAACCAAGAATAGCAATCAAGGATTCGAGCTATGCTATCATGCTAATATTACGCTCCTTAGATGTTTGTACCCGTCTTCCGACTAATGGTTAAGAAATACGTTTAAGGTTTACATATCGCTTGGGTGACAGATTACACATTTGTATAATATAACACCAAAGCTTAGAAACACAAATATCACATATATAAGAATGACGACCCAAATTGGGCAATAAATTGTTATTTTTTCTGAACATGTACTCAACATCTTTCGGGATAACACGGTCAGATGAGAAGTACATTACATTAATGAACCATGGTATAAATCAAGTTGACGGTCTTTGAAAACCAGTACATGATACTGTGAACAACGACCAAGGCTAGCGGTGCCCAAATACCTCACTGAAACTACACGATTATCATATCAGGCGGCTCATATAGCACACATAAGTAAGTGGGTGATAGATTGCTCCTGCATCCGATTAGAAGATCGTCATTTGCAGATCAGGTTTTGAACTATTCACATCTCAAAGAAAGAGAAGTTCATGTCAAGTTTTATTAAAGATTAACGACTTGATGAGGTGATATTTAACGTCGAATCATGAACCATGGTATAAATCAAGTTTCGACCATATAGAAACCTCACCAGAATGAATGAATAGATGATTGCTCCTGCATCCGATTAGAAGAAAGAACAGGTTTTGAACTATTCACAGAGAATGTCGACTTGATGATGAACGTCGAAAAGATGCTTGTACAAAGAACAAGAATTAGAAGGAAGAAGGAAGAATTAATACCTACTGTGTTAACACACTTTCCAGGCGCTGGGGTCCATGTAGGGGGTCCGGGAATGCACCAAACAGTGGTATTGTAACCTAGGAAAGCTTTGGTACTGCTGCACACTGTGGTGATGGCAACCATGCATTCTCTCCAGTAGATAAAGGATTGGTAGGTATTTGGAGGACTGCATTCTCCTATCAGAACAAGACGTATCTCAATGAAAGACCTTACTATAATATGAGCATGCGAGCCAAATGGAATATGTATTAGTTTGAATTAGAAACACTAGTTATCATGTCAACATAATTAGTACAAGGCTAGGTCAGACAAATATCTGGCCGATGTTTAGGATTCGGAATACCGTCCGCATACATGTTGCCATGAGTCACAGGGCGAATATGTTAGGATACGTGAATAATAGTAGATCTAAAGATCATTGCACTGAATTTCTAGAGGTTCTTGAAATGCATTTAGAAGTTGGACGAACATGAACACATGACACGTTTCATGGATAACAACTTCTTTTTATCCTTTATCACGACGAAGTGGAACACTTTTTATGGATAGACAACTTCTTTGTTGCAGTAGTTGCGACGTTTCGATGTAGATCCTAACACCGTTATCAAGCATCATTTGCTTGATTAATTTGCATAAAAAGTGTTCCACTTCATCATACCAGCTTCTAAATGCCACCTATGGCTGAAATATTGCCAAAGTGACTTTAACTTTTAACTCACTCACTCACTCTAAATGCCACCTAAGGAACTTTATCTCGACGTTTCAGAGCTAATTCTTGGTCCTTCATCGGGTGAATGATGAAGCAGCATTCATTCACCTGATGTGGGAGTAAGACAAAATAGCAGCAGTTATCCATAAAACGTGTCACGCATTTCCTGAATTAATAACTGGACTAAAGACGTGTTGACAGCGTGTCGTACAGATGTAATGCTGCTGAATGTGGCGTCAAACAAACACATACCCATGATATACATGTACAGTCGACTCTGCTTTTAGCAGACATTTCTCATTGATGTGGAGGGTTTTGTTTTCGGTTTGAGATCGGTTACATAGTTTTCATAAACAGTACTGTTGGATAATGTGTTCAGTTTCACGTTCCTTATTGTTTACATCGTATACGATCTTTTAATGAGTAGGTAGTTGAACAGAAACGACGAATCGAAAGAAACATAAAAAAGAAAGATATTCTCATTTTCGATTACATCATTATGCTTTCGTTTGTTATGTGTTCTTTAAAATGCATTATGATTAAACATACTCATTAATTCATTTTATTGAAATAAGAAGATAAATGTCGCCATTACATTGCCGCTTGTAATACACACTGTAATGTTGTCTCTCGACACCAGCGTTTCTTAAGAACTTGTCCCAACTAACCTTCAATTATGTAGTATTTGTCTCCACTTGCTCTCGTCCCCGCGGTTGTTTTTGTCTGGTAGGCTGCGTACATGTGACACTGGCCACTGCTGGTGACAAACCTCGCCCCGACACATCGGGTGTGTAGAAGGCACATGTTGACACAATGGAGTGGTTTCGATGTGTGTTGTACAAGAAGGACGTCCGAGAAATTGTAACTTGAATCCGCCTGCTTGAAATGTGCTTCACTGTAGGGGCGTTCGCAGTATTGACAGTACACATAGACTAGATACTGAAACATTATTACCTTTGAGATTTGCATCATGTTCTTAATCGGATGTCCTTTCGTCATTTTAGTGTAGATGTGTGTATAGATGCTTAACCGTATCCAGCAAACTTCGTCCAACTGAGCGCAAGGCTTGTTCTGGCAGACTGAAAAATATGAATACAAGATTCCGTGTGGTAACGACAGACGATCAATATAAAGCTCATTCTAAAATACATTTAAAATAATTGTCGTTCAGTTTCTGCATCAATTCATTCCAACAAGTAATGTTTACAAAACACCTTTCAGAATTCTTCATATTTAATGTGTATGCCAAGCAGCTTTGGGCACTACTAAAAAAGGTTACGGTTCAACTGGTTGTTTCCATTACGTAACAGGTTCAGGAAAGAATCGGTTGATGCTTAACGTTCTTGGAATGTGTCAGGAACTCTTGTGGTACGCCAATGACAGTGAAACAAGGGAGATACTGTAACCTACCTGAAGCACTGAGTGCAACGGTTCAACTGAGCGCAAGGCTTGTTCTGGCAGACTGTAGAAACTGATGACAAGATTCCATGTGGCAACGACAGGCGATCGATACCACCTCATTCCTTGTATGCGTTTATCATCGACATGCTCTTTGTGTTCCACTTCATTCCAACAAGTAATGTGTAAAGAGTAGCTTTGTATAGTATTCAAAAGAGGTTAAGGATCATTCGGTTCTTTCATATTACTGATGTAGACTGGCAGATGTTATCCCTGCGAGGATTGGGTACACCATGTATTGTGGCACAACAATCATTATTTGACAACTGTGTGACAATCAGATTAATGGTCACGATGGCGATACGTTTAGGCTTACGTTTTCGTGTATTGCTCCAGACTGCAAAGTACATTGTTGCGAAATTTCAATTTTAGCTATATTTTGAGATACGGAATTTACAGTTACCTTTTTAATACGCAGAATTTGGTTTTTAAAGCATATGGAACAGCAGTGTTATAGTACTTATAGAAAAGAATGGCTGTTGCTTTATTAATGCTAATGTGTGTGTATATAACAGCTTGCAATTGCCAGACCTGGCTGCCGATCTTGACTCTGAATGTAACCCAGTGCTCAAAATTCCATGATAACGTCATGGTTTGCCAAACAGATATTTCATGAAAAGAACACTGTACAGAGGTTGTCTTCAAGCAATTTATTAATATTTGGTGGTAGTCACAAAACACCTTTAAACATATATATTCATATCAAAAGGCACTGTGCCGTAGAGATGAAGCTGATATTATACATGCTGTTCCATCGTTTGTGGCATATGTTCCTTCAAATCAAGATTCAACCTATTTTATCCAGTATTTAATAAAGATAATGAATTGTTAAAGGTACCCCAGTTAATGCTATTTAAAAACATTATTACTGTTCAGTTGCAAACGTCCAATTTGGGCTTGTATGACAAGTTGTTTACATACAAGCTCCAAAAGTATTAAAGGTCACATGCAACGTAAAACACAACTTTGCAGATTCTGATACCTTTCGGTGTGGACTTACCGAAACAAAGCGTCAAAAATGCAAATTCAACTTATAAAGTTGAAAAATAACGCGATGAAAAACCGCGCGAAATCGGAGTTCAAACGTTTCACTAATTTTCCCCAGACTTTTCTGGGGAATACGGGTTTCAACAGTTGGGCTGCGCTCATAGCACGTGCGCAGTGAAATAGGTTCGCGCAACTTGGAAGCGGGCTGTCTGGTGAATACTCGGTGAAGGCTTTGGTGTGAGCTATTTTCATAATGTTTTGTTGATACATACATACATACAAATACTTGTATAGCGCCAATATCCGTAATCCGCTCAAAGGCGCTCTGGCTCTAAGATGGTCAAGATATCACATATAGTTCAAATGCTTCACCAAAGAGACATGTCTTCAGATTTGATTTAAAAACAGCTAAATCTGGTTGTGTTCTGAGGTGAGATGGAAGATTGTTCCAGAGATGAGGGCCAGCCGTCTCAAGTGACCTGTCACCATATGTTTTGTCCTAGTCACAGGAATTGTCAAAGACACTGGTCATTTGATCGGAGAGAACGTACAGCAGTATAACGGTGGAACAGATCACAGAGGTACTGAGGAGCTAGACCATGTAAACTTTTAAAACAAGGAGTAGAGTTTTATATTTTATGCGGTAGTGGACGGGAAGCCAATGAAGTGAGTGAAGAACAGGAGTAATGTGGTCCGATTTCTTTGACAGAGAGACCACTCTGGCTGCAGTATTCTGCACCTTCTGAAGCTTGTGTATAAGATTGTTTGGGAGGCCAGCAAGAAGCGCATTACAGTAGTCAAGACGAGATGTTACATATGCCTGAACAAGAGATGCTGTAGTCTTGACGTCCAGGTATCGTCGAATCATGCCGATGTTGAATGTGGAATGTGGTAGTACGCCCTTCTACAGATGTTATTGATGTGTGGCTCCATGGACAGTGAAGAATCAAAAATAACTCCCAAGTTTCGCACCTCATGGTTTGGCTGAATCTCACACTGACCGATGCTGAATTTAGGAAGAGAGATACTGGGTTGGAGACGCTTAGGGTGGAAAACTATGAGTTCAGTTTTATCATCATTCAGTTTGAGGTAGTGTGACGACATCCAGATTTTGATGCAGCTAACACACTCTTCAATGGTGAGAAATGAAGACACAGCTGATGTGGAAAGTAAGGGTTTGAATGATATGTAAATTTGAGTGTCGTCAGCATATAAATGCAGTCCAAGGTTGAAGGATCTGACGATATCACCTAGAGGAGAAGTATAAATAGTGAAAAGTAGAGGTCCAAGAACCGATCCCTGAGGCACGCCATAAGCAAGATCCTTAGGACTGGAGATGTGACCATCAATGATCACCGACTGATGTCTACCTGCTATGTAGGCCTCAAACCACTGAAGAGCAGTCCCTCTAATACCCATCCTGGTCTCAAGTGTATGCATCAGAATAGTATGGTCGATAGTATCGAAGGCACTACTCAAATCAAGTAGAACCAATACTGCAGCACCATCTTTGTCTACGGCTCTCAGTATGTCATTGTGCACTTTAACGAGTGCGGTTTCCGTGGAGTGGAAATTCCGGTATGCTGATTGCATGACTTCGAAACACCCATTTAAGGTCATGTGTTCCTTGAGTCTTGTTGTGACCACACGCTCAATCAATTTTGAGGTGAATGGTAAATTTGTGACTGGCCGATAATTTTTTTAAAAGCTCTTGATCTAAACCTTTCTTTTTCAGGAGTGGAGTTACAACTCCATTTTTCAATGTATCCGGCATCATACCTTCCTGAAGAGATTTATTGACAACAGAGGTCAATATAGGGGCAAAGGCGCGAGCTTTTTTATATGTTATGACAGTAAATAAACTGTTTATATAATTTCATTTGTCTATTTCACCACACGTTCTTCTTACCGAGTCACTTTCTCAGTTCGATACTTAAAAGCAATGTCATTATTTAGCGTTGACACAATTTCTAACTGTGATATAGATATGTCGCTGTCACAGACAAAACTCAATGTCTTGTTTTATTGACACCTGTGTGTCTGCCTGCCTGTCTGCTAATGACAATATTCAATACACAACTGCGATCACTGACCACATGCAATTTGAACTTAACACCAATCAGGCTATACACCATAAACAAAACGCATTGATTTATGGCCCGAGATCTGCTAATGAACCAGCCGTTACACTTGAGTGCACACCCACCCGCTCTGACTGGGTTCGGTATCCCGGCTGCTTCGTTTCGAGGGAGGTAAACCCAAGTACAAAATATTGCACTTTTGATTTGCGATTATACGCTTATAATTTTGTTTATTTGTTTTTTCATAATCAGCAATGCATATTATATGTCATGAAGAAGTGATAATTGTGTTTTAATTATGTTTGATTTTTTGGTTGCATGTGACCTTTAATCGGAGGGTATTCATTCTTGCCAGGTAGTCAATCTAACAGAAACCTGATAGAAAAACTTAATGGAAATAGAAAGAAACCTTCACTTAAAATATTGATATCTTGCCGTGATGGTATTGACGTTAAAGATTGACATGTAGTTTCAACTTTCATATTCATATAATTTATTGTCCCCTTAAAAGGCGCACTAAGCATGTTAAAAGGTGTTGGAGTGTTGCCTGTGTCTCGTATTGAAAGTACGCAATGCTGTTTTGCGTCATTGTTCTGAGGTATCGATCATTCCTATAACTCTTCCCATATAGTCACAAATACATTGTTCAAGACTATGCTCTATCTGCACTATCCGGCTGTCGCAATATTAACAATCACTAGCATCTGCATCCTAAGAAGTTCGATCTCTCTCACACAGTAAAATACAAACGCTATTTAAAAGTATACTTTTGTTTCTCTCGCTCGCTAAATGCATGTTTTTATTACTGTATCGATGTAGTAATAAGATATGAATGTACGTCTTCGATTGTCCAATATATCTTCTTTTTAATCACTGTCCTCTTACAATATCGATATAATTACTCAAAAGCACTCATTGGTAATAAAAGTTACCTCTGCAATTAACATACTGATCTTTAAAAGAAACGAAAACCCTTTTCATAATCATGAGAAATGTGTACTTTAAGCAGATTCGTTGGTGCGGTTCATAGACCACATTCATAAACATTCTATCCTAAGTTTTACATAAGCGTAAGTACCTGATATTGATTATATCATTTGGGAGAAATGGGGAGCGTATCCTGCTGAAAACAAACCGTGGCAAGTCAGATTCTCATTTAGAAAACACGTGATATTTGACAATGGTGATCAATACGTGGAATTGTATTTGTCTTCTAAATGTATAACACAAACAGTGTGTAAGTTCTGACGAGACGAATGACGTTCATGGTAAGTGTCCGAGAAAAAACTTGATTGTACCTCGAAAGTTGTGATGTGTAGACAACAAAGACTACAGATGCTGGAATATGTAACAAACGTCTGTCCAAATTCTATATGTCGAAACAACATGTAACCTGAATGTACTTATTGAAACTGTTTAATGTAATATCCCTTCTTGTTGCACATTCAAAAGAAGTAATATTGAATAAAACAAATTGATGTCAATGATTCAATCGATAAAAGCAATGGCCATTACGTTATGTACGTTCAATAGTGAAATATGTATTTGTACATAGAAAATGTTTGTAAACATAGGAAGCTATATTTTATGATGATTTAATAATTTGGCCCACGCTTTAATGTATTCGATTATATTGGTTCGATAAACTGTATGTATAAAGAATACAGTGTATTGTTTAACTAAACGGTATATCCAAGTCTAGAAAAGACTGATAACTTTAACAATCAGAAAAAGACCCCATTTTTATTGAACAAACGCACTATACTTAATACCCCACGATTGATACTTTATCCCTATTCACATTTCCGAAACATATGAATATTCATTGATCAATTTCCACACTTTAGAATCCACAAGAAATACAATACTTTTTTTCATTTTAGTCTTTTATTTCCCATTTCCAC